TTATAAGCTCTCCTAATAGCTTCAATTATTTCCTTAGCTGGCCAGTGAGGCCTAGCTTTAAAAACCTCCAACATTTCTCTAGCAGCCCAAGTTGATTTGAATTGTCTGTTTTTTTCATACTCCTATGACATGTGTGACTGCCATCCACCCTCTTCACCAAGAATGTAGCATTCCTTGAATGCCATGCACCATACAAAAAAAAAGGACACCCTTCTACACATCTTACTCCTACATGCTATTGCCTGTTCTTGTTACTCATAACAAAGCTCAAATCCCTGCCCTGCATAATTGCATACCTAGCAACAGCCTGTTTAAACTCACTCCTATTGGCAAATCTCTGACCTACTACCCAAGTGAATGTAGAAAAATCAGTCCCACCACTCACAAGCATACTTCTCGCTCCTTCCCTTCTTTCTTGCTCCAACATTTTCATCATCACTATTCTCAGGGGTGTGAATCTCATCTTCATTGTTTTCATACTCACTATAATAACCACCAGCACCAGATGTGTCACTAGCACCAGTTGTGTCACCAAGAGCAGATGTTTCAGCAGCACCAGAAGTTTCAGCAGCACCACTTGTTTCAGCAGCTCTTTGTTGCCTACCCTCTACTGTTTTTGGACCTCCAAATCTCCCTTCACATACCTCTCTTTGAAGTTGGCTTGCTGTTTCAAGGATCTTGTTGTTGCAATTTTGAACTCTTTGTCTAGCTAGTTCAACCTCCTCATCACTGTTATCTGACTCACCAGTGACCAAATCAACCTTGTCAAGACCTTTATCAACCTCAAAGTCATCATCTTCTACCTCCAGCTCAACATCAATTCCTTCCTCTTCATCCTCCTTATCAGGCACAAACTCAGGATCTGATTCATCCTCATCATCTGTACTAAAACCACAAAGTTCCTTAAGGGTCATTGGACTTTCTGGCCTGTTGTCTTCCCACTCATACTCAGGGAATGAATTTGTGTTCTCACCACACACATGAGAAGGATTTTCTGGTTCTTAGTTGAGGGTTTGTTATGGAGGTTCTAAGTTAGAAATAGGGTTTGATGGTTAGGTCAAAGTGTTTTCATCAGCATGTGCTGAAGAAGATGCTTTTGAGCCAACTTTTTTGGTTAAAGTAGGACCAACCAAAGAAGAAGATGCTGTTACATTAGATGCCATGTGTTTTCTGGGGCTTCTTCTAGGTGGGCCCAACTTTAGTGACTGTGGACCCTTTTTGGGAGTTAATTTTTTAGGTTTAGTTGGTTTGGGAGGTGGGATATTTTCTGAAATTGGTGTGGTAATGTGTTATGAGCTTGATTAGCTAATAGAAGTACTAGGATTTTCTGCTGACACTTGTGGCTCTTGATCACTATGCAACACATACACATCAATACTCCTATGCTTCATCATTATCTCTCCCATTTCTAATACTTCTGCATCCCCTACTATCTTTCTTAACCCATCTGCTAAAGACTTCCCAGGAACTAAATAATATAGGGCAGCAATGTTAATATAATCCCCACATTTCGTTCCCAATTCAAGTAGCTTCCAATAACATAATTCATCAGGAGAAACCTGAAATGTCCTTCCTTTACCACCCATATACACTAACTCTCCATTACCAACAATTTTAAAGTTGCCTCCATGCCAATACCTCAAACTCACATTCTCAAATAAGCTATTGTTGCTCATTATCACCTAAGATCAACCACAGTAACCAACAACATCATCACACACAAAGCAAAATTAAATCGCATCAACGAAAACCCCAAAACACCTAAATTCACCTATCCAATTACAGTTGAACTACAACAAAGCAAACACCTTCGACCCAACCAAATAATGATACAACAAGCATAATCAAACACAAATTACTTTCACACATTTAATTCCCCCAAATAAATTAACATGCGTAATTGAATCATTCCACAAAACCCAGAAAAAATGGAAACAAAACATCAATAGTGGTCAGTTCGTACCTTAAATTAAGCAACTCCAGGCGAATTCCGACGCAATTAACCAACATCAGGGCGTTTTCCGGCGCAATAGATTCTGTTGTCTTCCCCAATTAGCAGTACAAATTTAGGTGAGCTTCAATAATGGCGCAATAGTACGAAAGGTCGATAGTTAGAGCATTCAAGTTTGGGTAGTTGGAGTCATTAATTGCCACCTGTGCAAGCCACTTGTGCAATTTGGGAGGGAAATGGTGGTTAACCAATTTTTTTTAACCTGCTGACTTATTAGTTGTAGGTTGCCAGTTTTTTTACCTGTTTAAAGCGGAGTACCCCTAAAGGTCGTATTATTCTGAAATAAACAAAAGGTCAACTTGTTTTTAGCGGACGAAGCAAAGGTTGTATTATTTAATGCAATTTTTCCAAAAATTAATGAAAATGGCCATTTTTTTTGGGAAATTCTCAACGACGACCCCCAACTTCTACTACGCACCAACTGTAACCCCCTTTTTATTGGATTATACAAAATGACACTACTTATCTTTTTTCTCCCAATGATGACATTAATGGTGTTGTTTTAACATAAAATTAAACCATGGTTAACCAAAATAGCGAAATGACAAAAATGCCCCCTTTTTTATTTCATCCAACCACCCGATCTAAATTCTCTCCATTTATCTCTCTCTCCTTCGTTCTCCCTCTTCATTACTCTTCATCTTCTTCCTTCTGGTGCCTTTCCCATCAAAATGTTCATCGAGACACAAAAAAACGCAGAGCATTGAATGCAAACTCTATAATAATATCAAAAATAGACGGTGATAGTCATTTTTCTTCTGGGGTAAAGTAAAAGGGGATTCAAACTTTTTTGATTTCAAAAATTGCGACTAGGGTATTCAAGTTTGGGCTAAGAATTGGGGGTACCTGGTGAAAGATCGAATCTTTCTGCATCATCTTGCCAAAAAGAAGTTCAGGTATGCATCCAAAACCCTAATTTTTATATAACGTTTAAGTTGTGCATGTTATGTACTCTGTTTTGGCATGATCGTTTTGTTGCATGTTTTATGTGGTTGAATTGAAGTATTATGCCATAAAATGAAATTTTTTGTTGTCTTGTATACTGATTTTGTGTTATGGACTTGCTTGTCTTTGTTTGTGCTTGGAATATGGTATGGTGTTAGAATGAGTGATGTGGTGGTGTTGAGGTTTCAGTATAAGGGTGTTGAGGTTGATGTGGTAGTTGAGGATATTGACACAGTCAATCTAGTTGACCTAGTGATAGAGTATTGGGATAAGGCTGTTGAGAGTGAGAAACCAATTCCAAAACATGCTAGTTTTGGTTATGTTCACATAATGAAACATGTGGACTTGATTAATGATCAAGACTTGATGAAAATGTTTACTAACTTAAATGGAAAAGACCTTATACATATATGGGTGGGTGAGGCTAATTCACCAAATGAGTTACTGAAGGCTGCTAGGACTTTGAGGGCAAGTAGGATAGCTGCTGAGTTGAAACAAAGTGTGGGACTGTTAGGTACGACAAAATGTGATCCTGAAAAGGGAATCCCTAGGAGAAGTCTAAGGAAGCTAGAGGGTAGCTCAAGTCAACCTGTGATAGATGTTGAGAGACCTAAGAAACTAACCCCTAGGAGAAACACTTCATCCAATGTCAGAGACCCTGTAGACTCAGTTCCAGACCCTATTCCTGAACTTGTTAATAAGGGAGATAATGAAGTTGATGATGAAAGTGATGGTGAACCTGTTGAAAACCCTATTCCTGAACCTGTTAATGAGGGAGATAATGAAGCTGATAATGAAAGTGATGGTGAACCTGTTGAAAACCGTATAGTTGAAATATATAATGCGATACCTAGTGATGATACGTGGGCTGATTTGATGAGGGAAATGGAAGAAGAACAAGAATACATGAGTAGGGGGAAAGGAAGAGGGAGGGGGAGACCTAGAGGGAGAGGTAGGGGTAGAGGTAGGGGGGAAGAAGCACCTGTCAAGCTGACAGGAGGTAGGATATGGCATAGTGGACCTGGAAGAGACTTGAAGGCATGGTATAGGAAGCAACTGGAGAATGCAGTAGAGACTGAGGTTGAGAGGTTGGCCAGGGAGAGGAATGAGAAGAGAGAAGAAGAGATGAGGAAAGAATTAAGGTTACCACCTATAGAACAAGCCAAACCAGTCCAAGTACTCAAAAGAAGTCCAAGAAAAAGGTTCCAAAGTGAGGGTCAGACAGAAGCTAGGATAGATGTGATTGCACCACCTCTGTCTGAGATGAATGTTATCACAAGGCAAGCTTTAGGGCCCTCTTGGGAGATAGTGACATCTTCTAAATCTTCCAAGACATCTAGCACATTTGGTAAAAGAATTCCAGGGACTACAGCTAGGAGGAGAGGATTGATTATCATAACAAGTTCTGATGAAGCATCCGAGCCATCAAACCAACTTACTGTGAGTTTGGGTGGAGATGAAGCTATTCTGAGTGATGAAGGGGATGGTGGTGAAGTAGATTCTGAAGAAGATGAAGATCAGGAAGATGATAATGTAGATTAGGGAAATGAAGATGAAGATGATGTGGGACCAGTTGTTGACAACTTTGACCCTTGGGAAGAACCTGTGTGGGAGACTGACAATGAAGTTGAAGATTACTTTGCAAAATTGTACAAAAATGGAGAGTTGTACAATGATGAGGAGTTTGGCAAAATTGTCATCAAACCATGGCAATTATTCACGGATAAATAACATTTGAGAGATGTTGTGAGGGATTACTGCATACAAAGTGGGTTTTCTGTAGTTGTGCTCAAGGCATCTAATGTGAGGTGGACAGTTAAATATTCTTCAAGTAACTATGAGTAGAGGCTGCATGCATCTAGGCTTCCTGATGGTGTCACATGGGAAATCAAGTCCATTCTGAACATAGAGCACACTTGTTCTGGTTTAGAGGTGAAGAATCCTATGGTGTCTACCAAGTGGGCTGCAAGAGTGTTGCTTGAGGATATAAGAGCCAACAATGATATCCTTGCCAAATCATTGAACCAGTTACTCTGGCAAAGATATGGAGTACATACAAATGTCTGCAAGTACTCTATACAGGATGAGGTCAAAGGCTTTGAGGGATATTAATGGGGGTCATGACATCTCACATGCCCAGCTTCCGGACTACTGTGAAATGGTGAGATCAACAAACCCAGGTTCTTCTGCACTCTGTTCTTGGACACCTGAAGATCATATTGATAGGCCTCTGCAATTCCTAAGTATCTTGATATCATTCAAAGGCTGTATAGATGGGTTGCTAGCTGGCTGTAGGAACTTCATAGGTTTGGATGGGGATCACTTAAAGGGGAATTATGGTGGTGTCCTGTTATCTGCAGTAGCATTGGATGTAAACAATGAGATATTCCCCTTTGCTTGGGCAATTGTATCAGTTGAGGACACAAATAATTGGAAGTTCTTTGTGTGGCATTTGAAGAACTTGCTCAAAGACAGTGGGAGAGGTGATGAGTGATGCATTATCTCAGACAGACAGAAGGTATGAAACTTAGCCTCAATTTTCTTTGTTAACTTCCTTGAGCATTTCTTTGTCTTACATTTGTCTTTTTTTGTGTAGGGTATTGATGCTGCATTAAATGAGTTGTGGCCAAAGGCTGGAAGACGATATTGCTGCAAGCACCTGGTAAAAAATTGGAAAAAACCATTGCCTGGTCCTTTGATGTTTAGCCTGTTCTGGAGGGCTTGTGGGGCCTATTCTGAGTTCACATTCAAGAAAGCCATGAAACAACTACAGAAGGTCAATCCAGCTGCTTTGATATGGTTGTCTAAAGTTGGGGACCAATCAACATGGACCGAGCACAAATTCAATGAGGCTATCAAATGTGATGTAAACAAAAGCAACTTTGTGGAAAGCTTTAATGCCACATTGGGTATGGACAGAGCAAGATCTGTTCTGACTTTGTTAGAAGGTAACATATTCTTTGTTATGTACATGTAATGTATCTATATTGGTGAATGTATCATTAACATTTGTGGTGATTAATGTTAGGAATTAGGAGAACAACAATGGTCAGGATGTGCACTAAGAAGCAAGCTTCTGCAGACTGGATAGATGATGATATATGTCCAAGAATCAAGGCCAGATTTAAAGTGATAACTCAAGAGTCCAGGTGTTGCAAGGCATACCCTAGTGCTTATGGATATGAGGTCACTGATGGAAAATCAGTGCTCCATGTCAGTTTTGCAGAAAAAAGGTGCCTATGTAGGGTACGGCAGATTTCTGGAATTCCTTGCAAGCATGGCATGAGAGCCATCTTGCATGCAAGGCTTGATCCAAAACAGTTTGTACATGAATGGTGCTTTATGAGAAGGTACAAGGCTGCATATGCTGATGGAATCAACTCCATCCCTGACAGTGATCAATGGCCAGACTTTGACATGCCTAAAATTGAACCTCTTGCCATGAAAAGAAGAGTTGGCAGGCTTTGTAGAGAGAGAAGAAGGGATGAAGATGAAGAAAGGAACGGTAAGAGAAGCAAAACCATTAAGTGTAGCAACTGTCAATGCTATGGGCACAACTCAGCAACATGCAAAGGAGGCCCCACTTCAAAACAAGTTGCTGCTGCTTCTGCCTCTACAAAGGGTAAAGGGAAGCAAGCTGCTGCTGCTTCTGCCTCTACAAAGGGTAAAGGGAAGCAAGCTGCTGCTGCTTCTGCTGCTGCAAGGATAAAGGCACTGCTGCTTCAGCTTCTACAAAGGCTAAAGGCAAAGGACCCATGTCTTATTCACAGCCTGCTCCAAAAATGAGGAAGCTTAGTGAAATTAGGTTCTCAACCCAGCCTTAGTAGAAGAATGTGTTGGTTGTAAATAGCATTGGAAACTGATTTTTTTTGGGTATTTGAATCAATTTATTTTGGGTATTTTGGGGGGGGGGGGGGAACAGGGCATCTTATGGAAATAACACTGGAAACTGATTTTTTTGGGAATTATTAGTTTGGATTGTGAACAATTGCTTAAGTTTTAATCTCCAAGTATCGTTCCTTTATGTTTATATTGTGTCCAACCATGATTTATTATAGTTTATTGATACAATTGAATAACAGAGCAACAAAACAAAAGTAATTGAATTTGAACAAAGTTCTAAATTTTATTCAATTAGGATGATCAGTACATCATTCAACTACCTAGATTGTTAAGGACTAAGTACAAACATCCCAATTGCCCTTACATGAGACCCTAATTTCAACTAATTTCCCCCAAATTATCAATGTAGGGTTTACAAATTCATTCACTTAATTAAAGTATAGAAAAACCAAATTAAAAACATCCCAATTGCAATCTTCATCATCTTCTTGCCAAAGCCATCAAAATAACCTTCATCGTTGACCTCATCAACAATCCTCACAATATTTTCTTCAGGAACCCATGCAAAAAAGTGACAGCTACTGCATTTGTAGCAGGGCCTGTCTGGATTGGAGCGTGTGTCTGAAAAACGCACATCCAAAAATCGCTTAAATGAACAGTTGCAATAGCGAAGCTTGATTGCACGAGCTCTTCCCATGGTGGCTGGGTAAAATTGGATGACGAAGAAGACAACAATGGAGGAAGTTGGAGAATTAAGGGATAAAGGATTTTTAACCGTTGTCTAACTTTGGGGGGGGGGGTGGGAAAGTTAACCATGGTTAACTTTATTTATGATATTTATGTTAAAACACCATCATTAATGTCATCATTGGGAGAAAAAAGATAAATACTGTCATTTTGTATAATCCAAAAAAAGGGGGTTACCGTTGGTGCGTAGCAGAAGTTGGGGGTCGCCGTTGAGAATTTCCCTTTTTTTTGAAGAAATACATGGCTATATTTATAATTATAATCACGTGGTTATTTGTATAGGAGTAAAATTCTATTGTTAATTGGATATTTATATTAATTATAATATGTGGTGTGTTGAGTAGTATTCTATTGTCAATAAAAAGATAATTTTTTTCAAAAGAATTATAAATTATTTTATGTATACCTAATCTAGTTTTGTGCCCGGGTGATGCCCAGATTGGTGATAAAATTTTAGGATAAACTTTTAGCTTGATACGATATCATAATAGTGTATTTTTTGTAGTTCTGTTTGTAAATAAATATTTATGTTATTATTGACTTGAAATTATTTATTGAAATTAAAATTTTTTTTTCTCTGAAGTGAAATTATTTTTACTAATTAAAGATTATTTTTTACTAATTCTCTATAATTTTTTAAAATAAATAAATAAATATATTGTAAATGGATCTTATTTTAAAGAACTCTTCAAAACGAATTTTATGATAGAAATAGAACCGAGTTATAGGATATTTATTAATAGTTAGGATTAATTTTGTATACATGAAATATTAATAAGAAAAGTATCGATAATAAACTCTATAAAAAAATTTTATCTTAGAAAATCTATCCAAAATTCGCTTACTTATACTCATATGTGTCACAATAATATCCATTTGTCGCCTACGTGGTGTTTCGGGGTTTTCTGATGTCCTGCGGGAGAGTTACAATTCCGAGACTGGAACCGGACGCCTGTACCTGCAAAATAACGGAGACTCCTGGTGGTGGGAGCTCCGCCTCCAACGGTCAAGTTAGTACTTGATTAAGGAGTAATTAATGCGGAAATTAAAGTGATTGGGTCTCTCTAGGTGAGAGTGTTTAATGTAGGTAATCTGCTTTGTTAGCGAGATCAGCCGGTTATTACTGTGTGTAATTAATGTGTTTTTTCCGTAATCCCCCTTAATGAGGATTAAGGGAGGTATTTATAACCTTGGGAAACGTGCCCATCCTAGGTTTAGGTTAACCTAGGGCTGATTGGGCTTCCCTCGGAAATTGGGCCTGGGTGGCCGGTTTCTCCATTAGGCATGGAGTATGCCACATGTCATGACATAATAGGTCCAAGGTGGACGAATAAGCGCGTGCCACGTGGCAAGCCCTGACAGTTCCAACTGGGGGACACTTGGCAGGACCTGATTGGCCCACGTGGCGCATTCCGATTGGTGGGAGAAAAATCCCCTAATCATTTGCCCCTCACAGGTGGCACGTGACTGGTCACGTGTTACCTGTGACAGGTGTCGCACTGTAACAGGCGACGACCTTCTACAGGTGTCAGTCGGCGAAAGGCCGAGAGATATTCCTGCCCAAATTTTGAATTCTGAAAGTGACCCTTCGCCTCCTCACTTCGCCTATATAAGGGAGGATTGTCTTGAGTCATTTTCACACGAGAACTTTGAGAGAGAACATTCGGACCCCTGAACTTGCTCTGACATTTTGGACCTTTTCTGCCTACCGCCTGTTCTGACAAGCCGACTGCACAGGATTTTCAGCACTTCATCAATCGTCACTCGTTCAGGTAACTGTCGATTCTCTTACTCTTAATTTTCTTTTTATTTTTTGAAATGGCACCACGGAAGCACACGACACGACCTAGGTTAGTGATCAGCCGGTCACCGGGGACGGCTGAATCTAGGACTAGGAGTGCCGCCTGCCCTTTTCCGGACCCATCTTTGCCCTTTATACAAAGTCTGACTGTATCTGTGTCTATGCAGAGCAGGATGGCCAGAACGAAAAAGACTGCTAGGATCTCAAATTCAGACGGCTCCTCCCACAGGGTGCCGCTTAGTGAAACATCTGACCAGGCGCCAGATGTGGAAGTGAAACAAGGCGGCCTGAAAGCCGACAATTCTGAGGGAGGAGTCATAGTGACCCCTTCCCATTTAACAGTTAACAAATCTGATCCTTTTCAAAGAGAGGAGGCGGGCCCCTCCGGGAGAGGGGAGGATTCGTCCTCTTCGGACTCGTCAGAGGACGATTCCGAGTCAAGCTCTTCTGGCCATGCTTCTTTGGACACAAAAGAGAAAAACAGCCGCCTGCAAGAGGCGAGAATTTCTCACGCAGTTGAGAAGGGGGACAATTGGGCGGAGCCATCCGCCTCTTACCGAGAGCTAAATACCCCCTACTACTGCACGGTACCTCGGGGCCGGATCACAGCCATGCAAGAGAAAGTGGAGAGCTTTATTGCAAACCACACCATGGGCCCCGCCTTTCTAGTGTTTGTGCCGGATCCAGAAGACACAGTCGTCTGGCCGGCTGGTACCAGTTATGATAGCGCCTGCTTTGGCTGCTATGAGGCGGCCATCAAGGCAGGGCTGCGCTTCCCATTACATCCGGCTGTTCAGCGGATCTTGGATGGGTATGAGTTGGGGTTATGGCAGTTAGCCCCAAACTCCTGGGTAAACGTACTCGGCTATGTGGCCGGGTGCGAACTGCACGGGGTGGAGCCGAGCTTCGAGGCTTTCGCCCATATGAACTATCTCAGCCGGACCCCTAAGACAGGCGGTACCGGCTGGTATCAATTGACAAGCCACAGGGGCTACCTCATGACGAGAGGTAAAGCAAACAAGTGGAAGGACTGGCGGAGCACCTTCCTCATCATTGAGAGTTCAGACACTGAGCTGAACAAGCGCTTCAATAGGTGGAATAGGAATCCGCCCCTTCTTGCAGGCGGCCGTAGCATGCCGCCTGTTCCCCCCAAGGCTAAGAAAGAGATCCTTGATAAAGGACTCTTTAAAGTAGAGTCGAGGGTCGACTCTACTTCAGGGATACGAGAGCAAGTACCCCTGCACTGCGTCCCGAGCTTCAAATGGCTCTACGACGAGTACTTTTTGGCCGCCTGTGGCCTCAGCAGTCGGTGCTCAAGAGGTAGTCGGCCTGTCGAATACTCTGTTGTTCCATACATTTCTTGTTATCTTTTATTAACTTTGCTGTTTGTTTTTGCAGCTGACGCCATGAGCAAAATCACCGCCTCCAAGACTGCGGCGGCCATGTTGCGGGCCTCCATCATGCAACAAGCTTCAACCGACTCCCCCAAGAAGGGAGCACCCTTGGTGAGCTCCGAACCTTTCACCCTCTTTTTGGAGTTGTGTTTATGCATATACTGACTCTCTTTTTTTTCTTCTTTTTTAGACGGGTGCTCCAAGAGCTTCATCTTCCCAACAACCGGACCCCAAGGCCCGGAGGACGACTGTTGGGAGCTCTCCTGGTTCTGCCAGGAAACATGTGGCGGCTGAGAAACAGCCGGCCACTTCTTCTAAAACTCCAACTGGGCCGCCTAGAAGTAAGAAGTTGTCCTTGTAAATTTTAGACTCGCTCCCTTTTTTTACTAGGTCTAATCCGTTTGTTTATGCTTGATGCAGCCGGCCCTCAGGAGCCTGACTTGGTAGAGATGGCCAAGTCTATGATGACGGTAGTTCCTCCAGCTGAAAGGGAGGCGGTCAGGGGTGTCGGCACCCTTGACCTAGACGGGATTGCAGGGGTCCTTGCTGAGGTATACTTAGCATATTTTTGAGTATTTGAATTCCAGGACGCCTGTTTTCTTTTTGTTTGGAAACTGACGCCTGTTCCTTTGTACTTAGGCCCTGCTCCCAGTGAACGGCCTTCGCAAGCCGCTTGACCGGAAGAACAAAGAGGTAAAGGCTGCAAAAGCTATGGCCGCCTCTGACTGTGATAAGGCAATGTTTCAAATTGCCCAAAATGAAGTTCTGACCATTGATATTCTTTATTATCAGGCGCAGGCTACCGCCGCTGTTCGGGCTCAGTTAGAGGCGGCCCAGAAGAGGAATGGCGAGCTGGAGGCGACCATCACCAATCTCAAGGCCGAGCTGAAACCTCTTCGCCTAAAAATGTACTCATACGAAGCCTTGGAGAAATCCTTGGCCAACGTAAAGGAACGCCTGGTGACCCAGGAGAAGAGTCTTACTCAGGAGCTCTCGGAAAA